ATACCCCACCCTCCCATCCCAAAAAATAATACTCCGTCTCTGTTGGGTTTCTGGAATAAAATCTAGGAGGGAATTTCCAATTTATTTAAATCAGTCTGGAATTAAGAGTTTGATGGCCAATCTTTCTTTAATAAATATTTAATAAATATTTCATTTTAAACATTATACAATATTGCATATTGTTTTGCATACTGAAAATGCAGGTGTAATCTCTGGGAGCATTGAAAGAAAAATATCTCTATGAACAAGAAATAAGTTTTTAGGTCAGCAACAATTGCTGGCTGTGAAATTACTATGAGAAAATTTGGAAGGAGTCAGTATGTAAAAGTCAATATGGAAACTTTGTCTTCAAATCATCATTTCCCAGCATAGCGCTAAAGAACATTTCAAGATTTTTTCAAATATATGTCTACTTTTAGAGAAAATCCCTTGCCTACTGTCAAGAATGAAATGTGATGTTTCTTCTGAGCTGAGTGTTTATTGTTTCACACAGAGACACACACAATCTTGTCAGACTGAGAGTTTTACTATCTGCATCCACAATATATTCTGTGTTGCTTCTTACACTTCTGCAATACATCACCTCCCTCCTGGAAATCCACCTCCTCACTACATTTCATCATAGCTACAGTCCAACTGTATGTATGTAGTTGTTCACTATGATTTAAATATATTGCAGCATTAAGAACTTATGTTCATATGTGTGAATAATTGTGAGCATGGTAAGTGTACATATAGACATATAGTTCTTTCTAACATAAATGTTTCTCATGCATTGCATGATTCTTAGCATTTTTATCTGAAATGAATTTCACAGGCATATCTCCTTCACACTGGATTTGCTTAAGCATCTTTGAAACATAAAAAGTTGCACTAACCACTGAAAAGGCTTTGAGGGTCCCAGTAGAGTTGCATGAATGCAAGTTGGTCCTGTTACATACAAGTACTGAAAACTCTGCTTCAAAATGTGACATGAAAGAAACTTCTATTTGTTGTTCTATCACAGCAAGTCGCATTTTCCAAGCTGAGAACAGAAAGAAACCCATCAAACTGATATGTAATCCTAACTGGATTAGTAATATTTCAGTTGACATACCTTATTATTATGACTGGGTTTAGAAAGGGTGACCGAACCAGTTCATCTGCTGAATTTCAAGCTGAACCTGGGTCTCCTTGACCTAGTCTAACTCACTAACCTCTACACCACACCGGATGTTTATTCCATTCTTAGGCTTACAAATAATAATAAAATGTATTCTCATAGCCCTATGGTAAACATTCTTTTTAAAAAATATTTCATACACTCATAATTTTACATTTTTATAATATTATGATGGAACCGAGCTCCAAAAGCATCCTCCGCTCGAAGAGTCTTATTTCTACTTCTAAAATCTGCAATCAAAACCTTCTACGTTCGTCAATTCAATTTAATTCAAATCTGTTGGCAAAAATGTTGGCTGCAGGAACTGGGTATGGCTAGTCTAGAGAAAAGATGGACTAAGGGAGAGATGGTAGCAGTGTTCCGATATTTGAACAAAAAGAAGAGGGGGTCAAGCTATTTTCCAAAGCACCAGAAGGCAAGACAAGAAAACAATAGATGGAAACTAATCAAGGAGAGAAGCAACCTGGAATTAAGGAGAAATTTCCTAACAGTGAGAACCATTAAGCAATGGAATGTCTTGCATTCAGAATTGTGGGTGCTCCATCACTGGAGGGTTTTAAGAATAGACTGGACATCCACTTGTTTGAAATGGTATAGGGTCTCCTGCTTGAGCAGAAGGTTGGGCTAGAAGATCTCCAAGGTCCCTTCCGACTCTGTTATTCTGTATTGTGTAAAATGCCTAACTTGGCCATGTGATCCTAAGAAAGCTATTGGAAAAAATATATGAAAATTCATTCCTTCAGGAGCATAATAAACAATCAAACGATCAGAATAAAGCTGGAAAACCTCCAATTTTTAACAAAGTTTCCAACAAATACTAGCCCTGGGCTGGATACCTACAAAGATTCCAGCAAAGGTGTGGTGCTTTCATGCACTTTAAAATGTCACCCCAGATTAAGTTAAACTCATAATTCTTAATTAGTAATTTATACTCATATCGGAATATACTAAAAATGTGAAAGGAATAAGGAGTAACTGGAAAATATTAATCTAAATCTGCCTAAATTGCAGATTCCAGCTTGATCTGAATGATTAATAGACAATCAGCCTCAGTCTGAAATAGTCAGTGTACAGATGATTTCCATTAGAATGAAAAACTGAATTGTAACTGGCTTTTGGAGGGAGCTTATGGAACAGAGATGTATGTGAATCAACCTTTCACAAATAACTCTGATGTCATGCAGATGAGATGATCTTTGGGACTGACACTCGCCTGCAGGTTTTGGATAACTCCTTCAACTATTTAATATACAGAATTAGCAGATAAGTAGATAGGGATTTAAGTATCTACTAAGTGATTCCTATCTTTCAGTGGATCTGTGTTTGTAGTTTTAATCATAAAAAGCAATTTGTATTAAAGTATTCCTTATATGAAGAACAATCTATTGAAGACCTATCAATTAAATTAACTGCTTGTTCTGCTTTCTTATGTGGGCAATGAATTATAAGGACATCCTATCTAAAAAAACCAGAGACGATCAAGGAATTCATAAACACATACTAAACTTCTTTTCATTAAAATTAGGACTTTACCGGATTGGCTGAAATAAATTTAATATTTCACTGCAGTTTTGGTGATGGAAATTCTGTATGGGAATTTTATTGGAACATGATGAAAACCAGCAGCTAGTATAATTAATAGATGATGACTTCCATGTCAAAAGTTGCACTTCAATGAATGTCCCTATAGCTTAGAAAATGTTTGATTTATTCTAAAGGAATAAACACTATACACACTATATGATGAAAAATTGTCATGTTCCAAAAACCAAGAAAGAGACTTGTACCATAAAACATATAATATGGGAACTATTAGAGAGGAGTTGTCTTCACTCTCTTTTTCCCACAGAAACTGTCTAAACTGTATTGTCTCTTGCTCCTCTGAAATGCATTTCCTCTTCTCCTGGGAATTTTATCATTTTATCACAAACATATCACAAATCAAAAGATATATTCTCACACTACTTAAAATTTTTAAAAAAGTTTAAATGATAGTAATAATGAAATCATTTACATGTTATGCTATGTATAGACCAAACTATTTCTATATGCTTTGGTTATTGTTAATCATTTAATCCATTATGAATTACAATTACATTACATTACAATTAATATTTTACCTTGAAATTGTCCATGATTGAATGGGCATTTAACCCAGATGTTGTCCTCAGTTGCAAACTAAAAAGGTTTAAAAGAAATTAACATTTAATTTGAGTTATCCAGCCTGAATTTTCCATTGCAATAAACTGAAGCAAAATGTTGAATGGATTGAATCTCTGTCTCTGGAGAAATTGTCCTATCAGACTGAATGACAATGTTGCTTATAAGGTTAATGAGACCAAAGAAATAATAGAGCAACTTATGGCTGCATCCTAAAGAGTAAGCCCATTACAACCAATCAGATAAACCTTTGAACAAATATCCATAAAATTAAACGATGAAACTCTTCCTAGATATTTTAATGAAGGGTAGTGGGAATAATGTAACAGTAATTTATAATTTGCATCATATTCCAATTTATGATCCACTATATGTTAATTCCTTACCATATCTATAGCTTTTTGACCCACATGAGCTGGATTTATCAGTCATGCTATGCCAAAATTATTCAAAATTTTAGTATGAATTTGATATAAATTAGCCATTGCCCTTTAAAAACCATGGTTTACGGATTCATGCAGTGTATGAGCCAATTGTGGTTTGTTCAATAAACTGTGTTAAACCTACCACTGTTTGCAACAATGGATGATCCAGACCATACTGTTGGATACCTTTTCTACCGTAACTTTTTATGTACAATTAGCATTCTGGGTCAACAAAAGTGTTTATTTCATTTTCATTTCATTTATTTTGATTTATATCCCGCCCTTCTCCCAACGGGACTCAGGGCGGCTCACAACATATTTAAAAACAGAAACATATTTACAATCCCCACCAGATAAAACCAATTAAAACCAAATATTTTAAAGTTGTGCTGTTTAAAATTTTCTAAAAAATGAACCCGATTTAAAATCCTCCCTAGGCCAGGCCTGCTTTCTGGAAAAGCCATGTCTTGAGGGCGCGGCGGAAAGTAAGGAGATCCGGAATCATCCGGATCTCGGGGGGTAGTTCGTTCCAGAGGGCGGGGGCACCCACAGAGAAGGCCCTCCCTCTGGGGGTCGCCAGCCGACACTGCTTGGCCGACGGCACCCTGAGGAGACCCACTCTGTGGGAGCGTACCGGTCTATGGGAGGAAATCTGTGGCAGAAGGCGGTCTCGGAGATAACCAGGTCCTGTGCCATGGAGCGCTTTAAAGGTGGTAACTAACACCTTAAAGCGCACCCGGAAGGCCACTGGCAACCAGTGCAGCT